ACCTGACGGCCGACGCTCTCGTGTTGGCCACCAATGGCGACGAGTCGGCCACTAGTGGTAAACTGTTTTGCATGTTATTGAATATATGGGACGCCACTAAGGAATGGCAAATCGAGATGAATAAAGACGAGTACATCGACGCCATCGCCTGCGGCACCGGGTTTATAGCGGTGGCCACCGATCAACGCTTTGTACGCATTCTCACTACCGGTGGTATTCAGACGAGTATATTCTCTATCGCCGGTCGCGTTGTCTGTCTGTCGGCTTTTGAACAGTTTTTGATGATTATATACCACTCGGGGTCGGGAGTGCCCGAAGAGCAGAGTCTGTCGATGCAAGTGCTTCGAGTACAACACAGGCCCACATCCAAACATCCGGTTCCAAATCCTATTGCCGTTGCTCTGAGCCCTAAATCAGAGGTCTCGTGGGCCGGCTTTACCGACGAGGGAACCCCATGTGTGGCCGATTTGGACGGAATCGTCCGCATATTCACTACCGGTGTCGGCAACACATGGGTTCCGATCGCATCCACTAAAGACAATGTGAGTCTATCTTATAGTGAGTTAAAGAAGCGTTGAATTGAAATATTTGTGTATTTTTATTCGTAGGCAAAGGGAAAGTCAGACAACTTTTTCATAATAGGTTTGAGTGAAATTCAGAATCAAATTCGTTGCATATTCTGTAAGGGCTCCCGATATCCGGCCACTGTTCCCAAGCCATCGGTCACTCTATTGCCGCTTCAGTTACCACTTTGTGAGATGTTTACCGCTAAAGGCAAACATGAGGTCAGTTTTGGATATTATAAATTTAATGATTATTTAATTAAATTTTTGATGTAATGTTTGGTTTGATAGGAGGAACACATTCGCAATCAGATGTTGTCTTCACTTCTGAAGAAGTTATCGAAAGATGGCTTCGATGTGGACTCGAATCTCGAGGAATGCAACAGAAATATAATCAATTCTCTCATTAAATTATTTGCTGTAAGTTTTGATCTATAGTTTAAAACCGAATCTAAAGCTCAAAATTTTAACAATATTTTTGCGTGACTTATAGATGGCTTTGGGCGCCGATAGAGAGGCGTTGGCGGTGGAGATCAGTCATCTGATGCCCAACAAGAGGGCCGTCGAGGGGGCCATCAAATTCGCTGAACGCCAAAAGCGCAGAACTTTAGCACAAAAGTTGTCAGAAATTGCTGAACAAAAACTGGTCGAAGAGTTAAATGAATTATCCGACGACGAAGAAGAAGTGGAAGTGATTGATGAGCCCAACCCTCGAATGGCATCCAATTCTCGGATCCCATCGATCGAAGACAGAACCGCCGGTTTTCAACTGAAACCCAAAGCTATGCGTAGAGGCGGTGACGCACAGGACGTAGAGTCAGATGACAGCGAATCCATTATTGACGTGAAGAGCGCCAGAAAAACGGATACTAATGATGACGACAACTGTATCACTGATGACGACGATGACTCCAATTCTGTGTCATTGAAGCCAAGAGTAATGAATGTAACGAAACAACAGATGAAAGGAAATCCGTTTAAAGTGACACAAAACCAGAGGAAAACGAAACGCAAACAGAATTCCAGTGATGAGAGCGACGGCGACGATGAGGATGGAGACGACCGCTCAGGCGATGGCCGAGCGTTCGGACACTATTACGCGGCGATGAAACACATCATCAAAGACGACAACTCCGATGTGGAGTCAGAAACAGAAGTGAAACAGATAGCGAGGGATCGGTTCCGCGAGTTGGACGCCGCGGAGCGCAAGGGTTGGGCCACAGGCGCCGGTGACGGCAAGGGTGGCCGCAAAAGGCAACGCAAAGCAAAGCCCGACATCAACGCAACCAATAAGGAGAACACGAAGAATAAGATCACAAACTTTTTCACCAAAAATTAATAACTTTTTTAATTGATAGAAAGATTAACTTATTTTTATGTCTTTTAAAATGGATTTTTAAAAAATAGATTATAAATCTTTAGTTATAATAATTAACTTATTATTCAGTTTCCAAATCATTTACATTATGTGAATCGTATTCGTCGTCATCCATGTTGTCGTCGCTCATCATATTGTCGTCCAAATCAATGCTTTCATCGGAACTCTGGTGGCCGTCGGCCTCATCGACGCCGTCGTTGCCCTCATTATTATCGGAATCGTCTGCATCTAAGTCTCTCATATCGTCATCAATGATGTCCTCGTCTTCTTCCTCTTCTGATGACGAAGAAGACGACTCGTAATCGATGACCGGTTGGCCTCTCGATAGATATTGGGTTGAGTTTTGCGCCCGAATCTAATCAATCAATTCGTTGTTTAATTAATTTTTATTATCTATTAATTTATAATTTTATTGTTTTTATCAAAAACTCTGTATAAATACCTGAGATATCATTAAATTTAATCGTCCTTTTAATCGATAAATACGGTCTAAGATATGTGTTCTGGCGTTCATCAGCTCAAGAAGTGGTGCAAATTCTTCCTCTATATTTGGCAACTGATTATTGAGAATAAAAGACAACAAAATCAATCAAATACCTCGACATTAAATGCATGACAAACAAAACGCTTACACTCATGAGAAACGTGAGCCTCAAATGAAGTAACTGTTCCAACCATTTGAGATAAACCATCGTTTGATCACTTTTATTGAATAAACAACTCTGCAGTTCGTATAACAGCAGCGAAATGCAGTCAATCGGCAACTTTTTGATCGTATTTCGGATCAACTTCTCGTCCGTATTGCCGAACACTGTCTCAAGCATTCGCTTGTCTTTGCTCTGCAATCCTTGCACTAAGACATGCGTCAAACTATCACTACTGGGCTGTTGGTGTCCATCGCTGACCGACGGATCGCCGCTGTTTAACCGCAACCGATCCTCGAATGACATCAAACGCTCTTCGGTTGGCTGTTGTTTAGCGGTTTTTGACGGCTTTATGTGGTTATCCTTCGTCTCTGACTGATTGTTCACATCCACTGTCACTGAGATATCATTGGTGTTGTTGTTAATGACAATTGATTGCCGAGTGGGGGCCATACCGGCCGGTCCCACAACTGTCGCGTTCTTCGGCTTTAATGGGCTCTTGATTTTGGTGAACCCACTGTCGACAAGAAGTGATGGCTTTATGGACTCATACGTGTCTTTTCGGACTAAAATCGTGTTTTTCTCACACTTTTCATAACTGATTCGCTCGAAGATTGGGGTTAATAGCGAGCCGTATATTAACAATATTTCCCTATCATTGCATACTTGAGCTGATAATATGTTTAATTGTTTTGACATTGAGTTCTTCGTCGGACTATCGTTGGACGTCGTGATCCGAATCGTCACTTTCGGATTAATTGGCGTTTTTCGGTGTCCGTTCAGAATGTGTTCAAATATATATAATAAACCACTTCTGGTCACAACTGTTATTAAAATGGGCTAAAAATACCAAAAAATAATCTTAGAAAGTGTGGAAACAAACAATAAGTTTGTCCATCGCTTACGTTAGTTGTCTTAATCGGTGAGATGTCAACACTAATGGGTTCGTCGTCTAATGAAAATGATGCCAAAGAATTGTTTGACAACTTTTGTCTCGTTTTGGTCTCAGCTTTTAATTGCCTATAAAATGATGGAAATTAAAAATTAATTTATTAATCATTTGCTGTGAAACTAAATGATAAGAATAAGAGGACAAACCAGGCGTTCATTAGTCTATCGCCGACGGCTGACGACACAAAGTAAGAGCCGACGATATCGTTACTGTCGGCCAGTTTCACGTGTCGTAAGCATTTCACTTCAGACGCGTGTCCCGTGAAGTTCCTTAATATTATCTTCTTATCCCAATCTAACCATTTGATTGAATTGCCGGCGATTAAGACGTTCGTGGAGTCGATGGCACGGATGGCCGACACGGGATACTTGTCGGGCGTCCACTTCCTATTCAAACACATATGAAAATAATTATTACACAACTCTTCAAAACACATGTCTCGCATACAAAGCCATGCGTTTCAATACAACACATACTTCTTGATCTTCGCCGACGATATACACCACTCGATCACTTGTTTATCGTTAGAGCAGCTGAACAGCGAGTCATCGGCGGTCAACCACGACATGTCATTCACCCGGTCTTCGTGTCCGTCAGCGGTCAGCTGAGAGTGGAGATCGCTTTTGACGACACTATACAACAGTATATTCCCGTTGACTGTTCCTAAAGCCAACAGTTCCAAGTCGTGCACCACTTGTGTCACGTCCTTCTCGTTGGCCGATGTCTTGCGCTTACGTTTCTTTCGCGGCGACGAAACCTATTGTTCGCCACAAGAAGAAGACAATGGAAATGAGAAACGCGGCCAAAAACACTGCGTCCATACCTCTGGGTCGTCGTCGACGGCCAGCGGGTGTCTGTCGGGCCAACTGATGGTCACACAAGTGGCCGACAGATGCGATGACGGCGTGTACTCCTGTTTCAGATGACCAGACAGTGTGTCCCATATCTTGAGCTGTCCATCGAGTGTACAGTAACTGAAATACTGTCCGCAATCGGACAGAGCTATCGGATTGTTGGCCAATGTATTCATTGTCTCTAAAAATGGTCAAAACACTCAATCCGTCGGTAAATCCCAACCGAAGACCAAAACAACTGTTGTCGACGACTGTATGCGAAGCACGTGTTATATCAGACCTAAACGTGTTTAGCGTTGAAAATATTGTAAACCATTTTTTGTATACAAAAAATCTTTACACAAATATTGTAACTGTTTTTGTGTTGAGAATTGAAACCTGTTTTGCACTCCGTTTTGATGTCTATTATTTCACTGTCGATTACCCACCTCTTGATGTGAGCTTTACTGCATTGCTTTGTTTTGTATATGTTTGCGATGGATAGCGCTGTGCAGTGAAAGCACTTGTTCTCAATGTCAGGTACGACACTGTAAACTAGAGCCAACACGTGAGTACTTATAAACGGTTTAATACCACAAAATACGTATACTTTTGAAAACAACCCCAAAAACACTATCCGTTCCCTTAAAGCACAGTTGACTCACTTAAACATACAATTAATTTATTATAATTAGTTTTAATGGACACCAAATTACCGTAAAATAAGTAAAGAGATTACAAATGAGATTATAAAACAATCAATTAATGAATCAATCGATACAATACTACAAATGAAATAAATAGTAAGCAATGGATTACATGTGAAATGCAAATGAATTATAAGAAAATGCATTAAAAATTACAAAATGAATATAAAATGAATACAAATATATTAATTAAAAGTTAATTAAAACACAAAAAAGTTATTAATCTAAATGTTACGTAAGTTTTGGCTGACGTCTGAGCGCTTCGATGTCTAAAATCTTGTTCCTATTGAACAACTGTTGCTTATGTCTACCATTACTCTTGTGATGATGCGCGCGGTGCTGATGATAATCACCGGCGAACAGGTCCTGCTGTTGGGCCACAACCCGTGGCGGCGAATACGTTAAGCCATACTTTTCCAGATAGTTCTTCGTAGCGATGGACGCGTTTTTGGTCATTCCGTAAACGTCAAGACAATCGGCCGTTTGTTGTCTCTCTGTGTGACGCCAATCGTGTCGCTGATGATTATCATCGCCTCTCGTTGTGGTCCTAACCCTATGCTTAGGTTTAGTTGTCTTGTGGTCGCGGATGGGCTCGTCATTCACCAAATACTTTGCGGCCATTCGTTTGATATAAAGTGTTTGTTCCGATTGTATTTCGATGTGATGTTCCCTCCGCTGGTCGGGCCTCAGAGGAGACCTCCGTCGCGAGTGCGGTGGCGTTGGACTGCAACTACTGCGCCGACCGCTGTCCTCGTTGTCTGTGGTCTCGTCAACAGTGCTGTCATTCTTGAGCATCACTTCGATGTCGTTCAACACTCGACCGTAAAAGTGGTTATCATAGGAGTCGCTGTGACTGTCGTTGCGACGAATCATCTCTACGCTGGAACTGTTATCGCGTCGGCGGACAGGACTGTCGCTGAAGTTGAGTCGACGGGAGTCCAGTTCTATGTCTGACGGCTCGGACACGCCTTCGCTGATGGTATTCAAGCGAAGCGCTCGCAGGTCTCGGGTGGCGGTCGACGGCGTACTCTTCGTCGAGTTGTGGACCCCTTTCCGCGACGACCGGTGTGTCAATGGAGTGATGTTTTCGTTGTTTTCCAACACCAATGATGTCATTGTCTGAACGGATCGTTTGCTAATGTCGTCCACTTTGTGGTCATTAATGCGATGAAAACTCAACAGTTCTTGGATTTGTTCACTGATTCGTTGCAATTGAAAGTCTTGTTGTCTTATCATTGCCAACATCTCATCACTTGTCGGCGTTTTCGCTTCATTTTGGACACAATTAGTCGGCAGACAACCACTGGTGGTCTTCGTGACGGTCGGACTCGCGCGCAATCGTTGCCTGTTTTGATGAATAGCGAGCGGTTCTTGCGGTGATGTCTTCGACGTCTGATGTCGAACAATCCGCGGTTTACCAGTATTTCGAGATTCAAAGAGTTGTTTGTTGTCGTCTTCGGCGACTAGTCTTCCGTTTGTGAACACATTTTTGGGATTTTTATTCATAACATTTGCATCACTCGTTTGGTCGGCGAACGCCGTCCGACGGCCACCAAAATGATGGCCATTATTATCATTATTGACCCCTTTATTAGCCGTCATTTGCATCAAGTGATGAGTGGCTGCGAAGTTGGCCTCAATTTGATTGGCGTTTGCGTACAACAAATCGGTGGCCAAACGACGGCCGCCGAGAGGTGGCGATGGTTTGGGCGGCGATTGGGATCTGTTGGGCATCGGGTAAGCCGTCCGCCACTTGTCTGTCACCGCACTGTTGTCTCTGTACTGTTGTTGTCTGTGAAGTGGATGTTGTGGTCGTTGTTGTGGTAGTTGTCGCTGATATGGCTGACCATTGATGGGTGGGTCGGAAGTGATGGACAAGTCTGGAACCATTGGCCGGGGGTTTATGACCCGCGGGGGCTCTGGTATGGGCTGCGGCAACACAAATGGCATCTCAGCCGCGAAGATGTTGAACGGCCGCCGATTACTGGCCATTAGTATTGATTACACAACTCTTTGTATATTTAATTCACATTTAATTCATTTATTTATAAATTGATTACAAAATTATTATTTAATAATAAAATACAAAAACTAAAACTCAAAACAAATGCATTAAAAATAAACACATTTTTTGAGCGCCAAAAACACGCCTCCGATTGGTTGACGCGCTCTGCCGTCACGTGACTCACAACGCGTCGCTCCCATTGGCTGTTGGGTCTGAAAGCGTCACGTTATTTACACACAAATAGGTATTTCTAGCGCGAGTTAATATGAACACAGGCGCAATGCTTACCTGCAATGCTTCAGTTTGGCTATATTTCCACGATTTGCCAGCATTGCAGGTAAGCATTGCGCCTGTGTTCATATTAACTCTCGCTAGAAATACCTATCTGTGTGTATGGATTGCGCGCTGTTTTGCAACAAACATATGATTTAATGCAATGAAAGCGAGAGAAAAAAGTTATAAAAAGTTACGCAAAAATTACATTAAATTATGTTTCAATTAATAAACTTTTTAAACCATTTATTTAACGATATATCGGATCAATTGAAGTGATAGTTGAGTGTCAATGGATTTTGTGGACATCAATGACTTAGGCGTCGATACATTCCTCTCGCCATATGTGGACCGACTTCTCAAGCGATTCACTGCCACTACTTCTTCGCCGACGGCTATTACCGCCGCCGCGGCTGACGATGTCTTGGATGATAGGCTGTGTCTTCGGTGGTCACGTGTACTGCCGCTGATTCCGACGGATATTGACTTTGAGGCCGAACTCAACGAAGATATTGTCGACCGAATGGTGACAATCGCCGACTTAATTGATTCAATTGACGCCACGTATAGGCAATGGATTGGCCATCGGTTTGACGAGTTGTGTCACGCGTTGAATGAGACACTGTTTTGGACACAAGAACTCCTGAAGACATTTATAGACGCCATTCGACTATTGAGACAAGATTTGTGTCAAAATCGGAGAAAAAGTGTTAATAATATTCTGAGTCTTCAGTTGATTACCAGTTGTTGTGAGCAATCGCTCGGGAATCTAGTCTTAACGGTGATGTCATTTGTTCCGCCGCTACTCAAAGACCTGTTAAAACTGCCAGAACTGCGCGATATCATCGGCGGTAACTCTATTATCTTATTGCAGCTGACAATGGGTTCGCCGATCACTTTGAACGTCCGGAACCTCTTATGGCACGGCTTTGTGTCGCCCGACGATATCGACCACCGGTTCGGTCTGTTTTTGCTGTGCATTTGCGCCACAATAGGTCGCGATTTGGCCGATAAGTACCGCAACACAGTTTTGCCTCAGCGGCCACTTGTGGTACTGTCCACTCAAGTCGAGCCCTGGAAGCGTTTGTTCCCACTGTTGACCGCAAATGATATGCTAACTATTGGCGAATCGGTGGTCAAACGGTCGCCGTTTGTCTCGCGAAGAATGCACGCGCTGTGGATCTATTCGTTTGAATTATACGCCAACGAGTCGTTCGGCCACTCGATGGCAGTGCTGTTCCCGCAGATGGAGTGCGCGCTTCGGTATATGTATTGCGCGGCCAATGGTGTCCACAACAAACTCATGACAGCCGTCGCCAAACAGTATTACCTGAC